AATGAAGAACAATGGTGAATCTATAAAACACCTCATGATATGGATGAACCTGGAGGACACTATGCTGAGTGAAATCAGTCAATCAAAAAGGACAAACAGTGCCTGAGACCACTACTGTAAAAGTCAAGAAAAGGTTTACACACAGAAACAAACAAGCAAAAACAAACACTCTGTGAAGGTTACGAGGGGTGGGAAGGGAAGAAGAGGGAAACCACAAGCTACAGGGCAGCCCAGCATTACTTTGAGTGGAGGCACAGGCCATATCCACTAGGGAGGGAGTCAGCACAAAGCGATCAAGGCAGCAGAAGGCACTGGGGGGAGCTAAAGAGTTCAAGGCCACGAAGGGAGATACTATTACATACACAACCCTGCAACAACAGTAATCAGCTGTGAGCGGACACACACACACATCAGCTGAACAGGTGTGGGAAGGCGAATGGGACCACACCCAAGAATATACACAGGTCTGACAGAGGTTATTTCTCCATATGCATTTACACAGGCTGCAAATCTATTCATGAATCTAGTAGAGCATACAGGGGGTAAAGTTAGGAAAATGTCTTAGCCCTAATCAAACAGCTTGAAGGAATGAGTCACTGGGCACGCAGGCTCAGGACCATGGTCTCAAGGGACATCCAGGTCAACTGGTAAAACACTGTCCACAAAGGCAATGTTCTACATATCCTACTCTGGTGAGTTACAGCTGGGGTCTTAAAAGCTTGTGAGTGGTCATTTAAGATCCAACTATTGGTCTCTTTCTGGTGCAAAGAAGAACGAAGAAAATTAAAAATGTAAGGAACCAATCAGTCCAAAGGACTAACGGGCCATCTGAACGTCAGCCTCCACAACTGCGACCAGAAGTAGATGGTAGCCAGCTACCACTGCTGACAGCACTGAAAGGGACCACAGCAGGAGGCTCTGAGGAGATGGGAGAAAACTGTGGAACGAAACTCAAAACCATGACAAAGACCAGGCTTACTGGTCTGATAGAGACTGGTGGAATCCTCAAGACTATGGCCCTTAGAGACCCTCAGACCTGGACCTGAACTCACCCTGGGCCTCAGCTTCAGGCAAACAACAGGCCTGTACGGTGAACAGTAACACCAGGGCGGTAAGCACTCCTTAAGACAATTAACCGCATGAAATCCAAAGGGCAGCATTTGCTCAGGGATCAAGCTCAAAAGGCAGAAAGGTATAGGAAGGATAGATGAAGGGAAACGGAAACATGAGGAGGAAATGGGAGAAGTTACGTTACGTTGTTAGGATTGTAATCCATGTCACAAAACAAAATGTGCATGAATTGTTAAAGGAAAACTACTTTGTTCTGTAAACTTCCACCCAAATTTATGTGTGTGTGTGTATGTGTGTATATGTATATATATTATATGAGAAACCCTCTTTAACATTTTAAATTTAATGTCTTCTGAGTTGACCTGATACCCCAACTGTCTGTACTGTTCCTTTCCCCTAAACTCATAACACCAAATACATAAGATGCATACATTTTGCTACCTGTAAATTATGCATCAATTATATGTGTGTGTGTGTATACACACACATATACACACACACAACAAACTTGTTTGAAAGTAAGGTAGTAAAACCTCTGTTGCTTAGGTTTTGGAAAGGGGGCAAGTACAAGCATTAACTCTTTGAGAAGTAGTAGTTTGTAGTAGTTTGGTGGGAATCATAAAATCTTATTTTCCAACAAGTGAAGTAATATAAAGATGTGGTTTAAATGAAAAGCTAATCACTTCTGCCCCATCCCCACATAATCTTGTCTGCCTGAGATAACCAAACCTGTGAACTTTCTGTTCTAACCTGCCATTCTGACTAAAGAGACTGTACTGTTGTTGCTACGTTATGCTGGAAATGCTGCCGTTACACCAGCGCTGGAACACGCCTTCTTGAAAGTTTCACGTTACACCTCTTTTTGGTCGTTTGTTTCTCTCTCATGAAATCAGGATATGTACTTGTAATCCATGCAGCCCCTCATTCCAGGGAGTCCTGATTGAGCTCTCCTGTGCCAGAGATGCATTGAGCACGGCCCTGCCCTCCTCTCTCAAGACCTTCAGAGGCTGGCTATTCCCTCACAACAGTCCCTATTTTCCAAACTGTAGTTTGCTCTAGGCAGGCCATTCTGTCTGGACTAGGTCATGTCTGCCTACTTGCCTTCAGCGTATACTGTTAGCTCAGTGTATACTCTTCTCCGTAACAGCAATGACTTCATTCCGTGACTCAACTCAGGTCCTGATTTTTCCACGGGACACTGCTAGACATACTCCAGCTCACACACCCTTCCCTTCCCAACTTTCCATCTGGGAACTGCACACAATCTCCAAGACAGGAAACCTGAGGCTTAGTGTGATGTGCACACAGTCACAGAGTCAGCAGTCAACGGAGTACTTGGTCTCAATCTTGAGGGTCATCAAGACCATCTGTGGAGCAACCGAAGCCTGCAGTTGCCTTGCTCAAATCCTGAACATGTCTAAAGATGAAAATACAGTCTTCTCAACCACACCATAAACGTCTTCAGAAATACACTGTCCATATCATCCATGGCACTCAGGACACTCACTGACTACTTATCGACCATCTCTCAAAAAAAACCAAACCTGCTGCCACTGCGTCGATTCCGACTCATAGCGAACTCTATTGGGTTTCCACAGTGGTAAATCTTTACAGAATTAGACCGCCCCATCTTTCTTCCCCAGAGTGGCTGATGGGTTTGAACCGCCAACCTTCGGTTAGCATTCAAATGCCTTAGGCACTGTGTCACCAGAGCTCCTTACTGAGCGCCTCCAGAGAAAGAAAACTATATGGAGCTGTCTTTTTAAAATCAAACCCCCAGAAATGAAAAAAAGAGTAAGAATCATTATTATCTATTGGAGAGCCTACCTATTCTATCATCTAGGGACTTACCTGTGTTGTCCAAGGACAGGAGCTGCTAACAATGTCTCAGACAGAAACAGTGTTCTGTCACTCACTGCCCCCTCCCACAAGCCTGGATCCATCTGCTCTATTTATTTCTATAGATTCCGTGTAGACCTCTAGGGGAACAAGAAGATTCTCATTATAAATCTGAACCCCGATTTTGTCTAGATCATCTTATGAAAGAAAATACAAGGTTACGATGTAATTTATCATTCTTATCGGGGAGGATGTCCAATACTGGCGTGTCCACAACCACAGAAGCACACACCACCTATATGTTCCACACACTGTATGTTGACACAATGCAAAAACAACAACAAGGGGTTCAGTAATTCTAAAATGCTGCTCTGACCGTCAAAAGAATACCAAAGCATTGACCAATTACAGCAGGACAATCCCTTTTCCTTACAATTCCATCACTTCCTCTCTATTTCTTCTAACAGGAATTCATCATAACTTAAAATAAATACATTGAAGATAATTAAAAACAACAAAAGGAAAAACAAAGATGAGGAAAACAGAACAAAAGCAGAGGAAGGGAATGCTAGAAACATTCTGTATTCCCTCTGGGTGATGGTTACACAGGTGCATATGGGTGGGAAAGTTCACTGAGCAGTACACTCCAGGCTACACATGCTACTGAAGGTGAGTTACATCTTCATTAAAGGAAAGACTGAAAAATGGGAGAGAGAGAAGAAAAAAAAACCCGGGAATGAGGTGGCATTTAAAAGTCATTCAAATCCGATCACTCATTAAACAACTATTTGTTGAACAGGAAGCTCGTTAACGATGCTACACAAGACACTGAGGATGAAACTGCAGCTACACAGCGCTGGCCTCAGAGTTTATAACCCTGTGGCGGAGACAGGCAAGCCAACGAGAGCCTACAACAGGAGTGCGCGCAGGGGGCGTGGCACAGAGTGAGCTGGGGTGTCTAGCTCAGCTGTGGAGAGCCGGAGTTCTCAGCCCGTTCTTCCTCCGTGCAAAGTCACACGCGCTAAAATCGAGCGCAGACAATTTTTTTTAAGATAAAAGATCCACCATCATTTTATTCTCAGTTGCAGGAGCACAAAACTCAACTAGAAGTTTCCACAGTCTCTAAAGTTGCTTTCAGTCACTAAAAATAAACATTAACCAAACCTGCTCCCATCCAGTCGATTCTGACTCGTAGCGACCCTTTAGGACAAAGTAGAGCTGCCCGTAGGGTTTCCAAGGCTGTAAATATTTATGGAAGCCGAATGCCCATCTTTCTCCCACAGAGCAGCCGGCGGGTTTGAACAACTGACCTTTTGGTTATCAGGCCAATGCTTTACCCACAGCACCACCAGTGTTCCTAAAAATAAACATTAGCAGAGGTCAAAAAGATTCAGGCCCCCAGGCTGTGGAGCATTTCGGTCTAACTCACGAGGGAATAACGTGGGCTTGGAATAAACAAGATGTTCCACAGCAAGCCGACAGCCAGCTACTAAGGCTTTCTTTAAAGGAAGTTCTGCATGTGGTGAAAACAGAATTTCCCAGAAAGTTGACACCAGCCCCTCCCTCCAAATCAAAATAGCTTCTGTAAATGCTTCACCAAACAAGTCACACATATTTATAAAAACTGTGTTTATTCAAGGAAAGTAATTTATTTAAACGTAAGGGAAAACTGCAGTAAAGAGCGACTGGTAAAGAGGCAACAGCACCAGACGGAAGCGGACTTGAGGAATCTGTCACTGACAGTCGTGAACACGCGACAGGAGGAACAAGGAACCCTGACATAATTAAGGCAAGCTGGGGCGTGGCCTGTACAAGTCTGAACCAGGCAGCAAGGCAGCAGTATGTATTTCATCCTGTTGTTGACCGACACCTCCCTAACACATACCTATCCACAACTTAACTCACTTCTCTCTGGAAAGCAGAGACAGTAACCAAGAACCGACAGGATACCCCCACCTGCTACCAAATGGTCCCAGAAGTGGCTGGCAAATTGGGAAATCTGACCTCCATGGTCTGAGACCACAGAAGACAAGAACACTAAGGGGTGTTGTCTTACAGACACAGAGGAGCAAACCATCACTCTGCCTTACCTGTCAGCCTTCATGAAGAGGCTAGGCGGCAGTTCAAGGAGCTGGTTGTGTTGCACGTCTAAGACCTCCACCGAGGTCCTCTCCAGCCTCTCAGGCAGTCGTGTGAGCTGGTTGTGTCCCGCCAGGAGTTTCCGGAGACTGCTGTTACAGAATAAGCTGGACAAAAACGGACAGAAGACAGAAGGCAAGTTACTCTGAGATCATTTGGAGGAACAATTAAACCACGACTAACAGCAGAAGGATACCTAAAACCACAAATTCATGCCAAGTAACTCTAAATTCATTCTATCATAAGCTCAGACCGCGGGCTGCTCTATTTCAGTGGTTTCCGTACTTAAAAAAGTGGGGACGGAAGGACTACGGAAAGCGATCCTGAGGGAAGGAGCTCCACAGTGAGTGAGAGACATGCATCCCATAGAAGCAAACCCCGGAAAAGCGGCCTCGTGGGGACCGCCCGACCCACAGGCAAGCCCGAGAAGGCCCGAGGACGCTTCTCCACAGGAGGGCTGTGTCCTGCACTAACCCTAGAACGTCTGGCTGCCTTAGACTTTGAATAAATACAGCAGAACCATCATTATCTACAGGATTAACGTTGAAAAGAATTCTCTTCAATTACACTTAAAAAAAAAAACTGAGGAAAAAGTTCTGTTTTTCCTCAGTTACACTGCACTATCTTATTTTCTCCCCTTTGCCTCACTTCCCTAAAGCTGTCTATTTTTCTTTTCTCTTTGGTTTAATCCTAGACCACAGTAGGGACTCCTTCCTGAAGGGACTAGAATATTGTCAATCCAATGTAATTGTGAACCTTAGTATCTGGAAGGCGTGGCTACGCTTCCAGTAGTTATCAGAACTAAACCGACGACGGATGCTTTTCAATCCATCTGCGCTGACCACTCCTGACTTCCCTGAGTTGTAGAAATAAAACAAGTCCCTGGTTCCCATGCAGAAATCTGGGGACTGCTCCCCATGGTCACGGTGGCTAAGCGGCCACTGGCCCTGCTGCCAAGGAACAGACTGGCTCCGCTGCACCTGCTCCGGTTCTCAGCGTCTGAGCTCCCTCCCTGATGCCCAACGTTGCCATGATTACCATACACTACACCCACAACCTGATTCACTTTAAATGTGAAAATGACTGTCTCCCCTCACAGTGCTGACACCAACTTGTTTGACACTGGGAAGCCACAGGCCACCATTAAACATACCTGAAACGCCTAACTCTGCAGGTGACTTAGTTACCCAGAAACACCACAAAGGGGTACCTCTAACAAACAGATTTATCTTCTCACAGTTTAGGAGGCTACAAGTCAGAATTCCAGGTGCCGGCTCTAGGGGAAAACCTTCTGTCCTCTCTAGAGGAAGATCTTGTCTCTTCTGAGGCCCTGCTCCCACACAACCTTCATGTGGCCTGCCATCTCTCTTCCCGATTTGTTAGCTCGTGTTTTTTTCTCTTTTATATCTCCAAAGAGATTAGCTCAAGATACACCCTACACTAATCCTGCTCATTAAAGACAAAACCAACTCCCAAAGAGAATTAACCATGGACATAGAGGTTAGGATTTATAACACATATTTTAGGAAGACATAATTCCAACTGTAACATTCCACCATGTGGCCTCCAAAAATTCATGTCCTTGTCACACGGCAAACAAATTCACCTCATCACATTATCCCAAAAGTCTTAAATCAACTCCAAGTCCAAAATCTTCTCTTCTGAATCATCTAAATCAAACATGGGTAAGACTTTACACATATTCCATCCTGGGCAAAATTCCTTTTCATCTGTGAACTCGTGAAATCCAGACTACAAGTTACTTGTTTTCAAAGTACAATGGTGGAACAGGCGTAAGGCAGACATTTCCATTCCAAATGGGAGAAACAGAAGGGCTAACAGGCACCAGGGAAGTCCACATGACATTAGCTCTCAAGGCCTGAAAGTAATTCTCCTTCTCTGAGACCATCTGGGCAACGGCCCCACCCTCCAGACCCTATAGTGTTGGTCACGTCCTCTGGGTTGTGGGTAGAGGCTCTTTGGCCCTGAGCTGCCGCTGTCTTCAGGCCCTCTCAGATGGCAACTTTGCTCCCTCAGCTTTAGTGGCTCCATTCTCGTAGTCCATGTGAGTGGTGACCCCAACCCCTCGGCCCCTACACACCCCATTCTTCTGCCCCATGGGCATGGTAGCCCTGCCACCTGAGTTTGGGTGGTGGTTTCATTCTCCCAGCACACCTTAGTGACAGCCCTATACTCTGGAACCAAGTTGGTGAAGATCTGACTCTTTAAAACCCAGGAGGCTGTGGCCCCACCCTCTGAGATCCAGGAGACCATGAGGTCACCCTCTGAAACAAGAAGGCCCTGCTGCCCATGCTCCTTCCTACAGTTCTGTTGATCTCTGAGCTGCTCCAAGGATGGTCCTCTGTTGTTGCTGTTGTGTGCCGTCGAGTTGGGCCCGATTCATAGCGACCCCTCCTGGGGTTTCCGAGGCAGTATCACTACTGAAGTAGATTGCCCCATCTTCCTTCCGAGGAGTGGCTGGTGGGTTTGAACTGTCAGCCTTCTGGTCAGCAGTCAACTGCCTCAGGTACTAGACTACCAGGGTTCCTGGATGGTCCTTTACTTGGAGGATAATAGATGTAGCTCCTTTGACCTGCTTCCTGCCTGTAAAATTCCAAGAGGCAGACAGCATGCTTTGCTTTGATGCTTCCTTTGGCCCCTTGAGTCTAAGCTGATGGCTTTTCTGTTGTAGGTGTTCATTAGATCTATTAGTCACAGGCTTAATCTCTTTAACAAAAGACTGTGAAACCATGCCCTTGGTGAGCATTCTAGGACACGTGCCCTGAGTTTCTACAACAGAATTTTCCAAATATTTAAGTTTTGTTTTCACTTTGCACAGTTTATTTTTAAGTCCATCTCATTCTTCTCACATTTTACTATAAGCATCAAGGGGAAACCATGTGGCCCCTTTAAGATCTTGTTCAGAAATCTCATCAGCCAGATAGCCAAGTTCACAACTTACTCTCTCCACCTTCCGGCAAACACTGGAACATGATTCAGACAAGCTCTTAGCCACTGCATGAAAAGCACC